CGAATGCGTAAGCACAAACAAATTGAACAAACATATAACAAATATAAAGAATCAATTACTGTATAACAACAAAACAGAATGATACACCATTATGTAATCAAGTTTCAAAATAAAACTAATGACATGATAATCGATTTAATAAATTAATTCGACTATTACAGTTGCGTAATTGCTTCTTGTGCACATCCACGTTTGGACAATTGTCAGAATATATTATGCGAGATGTACTGGCCAAGTTGGGTTTGCTTTATCTGCCTGGCTTGGTCCGTCTGGACATTCGTGAGTATAGGGACTCTACTTATGAACATTTGACTTACGAACTTTCAGAGATACGAACAAACCTGGCCGTATGTCCAGTTGCCTGTTCGGACCGAGAGTTGGAAATTCGACTGCCGCGCAATAGATGGTCGTGGTGGCATCTACAGCGGCAGAACATGAAGAACCAGTGGCATCTACATCTACAGGAGATTATACAACTTTTAAAACCATTCCCCGTGTTTAGTGTACATGCCGTATAACGTGTTTAGAATCAACAGGAGTAAAGTTGGACTTGAGAACAAATCGACGTACGAACAGACCGCTTGAACCTAACTCGTTCGTAAGTTGAGGAGTCACTACAGTGACAATCTGAAGTGCCAACTGTGATTAAAGCAAGTACAGTGAGTTGATGGCCTCAGCCCAAGCGCCAATAGCTGCACGTTAAAAGTTGGTGCCCCACTTAAATTTGATTAATTCCGTCTCTCGGGACCAATATATCAGTTTGAGTGTCATGTGATGACCATTACTTTCATGTGCGGAGTGGATTGGAAAGTGCTGCTATGTACTATAAGGACCATAGGTCACTTCACAATCTGCATCAGAATATTTATTTATACTGGGGAAATCTGATGAGCTATGAAGCTCTTTTTCTACAGATGTACAGTAGGGGCAGGTCAGAATGTTACAACAACAATACAAAAAGACGATCAGAGTGCAAAGTTTAGGAAAGATCAGCAAATAAATTCAACAAATATACAAATACAGTGGTACCCCGGAGATCGAACTTAAATCGTTCGAGAAGGCCATTCGAACACCGATTTGTTCGAACACCGAATTAATTTTCCCCATAAGAATTAATGTAAATGACATTAATTGGTTCCAGGCACAAGAAATCTCTCATTATAAAGCATTTTTACACGAAGTTTACGGTAATTACATGCATAAAATCACGCAAAAAAAACAAGAAACACAATAAATAAATGGAATAAATGAATAAATAAATGGAATAAATGAAATAAATGAGCATCGCACTTCACTTTACCTGTAGTAAGGAGAGTTGATGGCTTGAGTGGAAGGTGGTGAGGAGGAGGAGGTGGTAGGTGGTGGTGCTGTTATTGTTTGGAAGGGGGAGTCCCCTTGGGCAAGCGTCATGCACGCTGCTGGACACCACGTGTCTCAGCCGTTCGACCTCCGAATTTCGTTCGGTTTCCGGGGCAAAAAATGTTGGGAAACATTGTTCGAACACCGATTTGTTCGAGTTCTGGTGCGTTCGATCTCCGGGGTTCTACTGTACAGCTAAACAGTGTTTATCTTACCAGGTAAAGCCCACTGGACTATTGGCTTATTGAGAGGATCCCAGAGGGAGCTCTGTGACATTCTAATTCATGGGCCGTTCTCGAATACAAAGGGTTGTGCTGCCCTGTGAGAGATCCGAATGGATTCTTCCTCTCGTGATTTTGCCCTGAAAGCACGATCTGGAATAACGTTGGAGGAAAATAGATTTAAACATAAACAATAGGAGGAAATGAATAAACGCGGGAAAATTATAAAAACAAAAACTATCAATCTTGATTTGAAGCTTTCGCGACTGCAGGAATCCATACTCTTTGGTTCTTTCGGTAAAGTCACGTGGTTAGAAATACAATTATACAAATCACGACGTTTTCGATCGCTTGTGTTGGAAGCTGGGGGGGGGGGGAATGGGCGGGGCTGGAAGCTGGAAGCCCCGCCCACTCCCCCCCCAGCTTCACGTCCTCTCTCCCCCTAGCGCTCACGCAGCCCCCCCCCCCCCTCTCTCCCCCCTTGCTCCCCCCCCTCTCTTACCTATATAGCCTCTTGCCACGGCAACTCTCTCGCCCACTACATTGGCATTGCTGCTGCATTGGCATTGTTGCTTCATTTCCATTGCTGCTGCATTGGCATTGCTGCTGCATTGGCATTGCTGCTGCATTGGCATTGCTGCTGCATTGGCATTGCTGCTGCATTGGCATTGCTGCTGCATTGGCACTCGCGCACCGCCTATGCTCCCGGTGCTGTTGATACACTTGGGCTACGCCCATCATCAAATATTTATAAACAGTTTGCCTTTAGAGGCTGACTCCTTTGCCTGATGACGACCGCTTGTGTTGCGAACGAAACGTCGTGATTTGTTTTATTTTATTTCTAACTACGTGACTTTACCGAAAGAACCAAAGAGTATAAAAACTATCAATATTAAGATATATGTCTAGATATGCATTTCCGCATATACGTTTACGATAATGAATGCGTTCTGAGACTAAACACCATTTTGGAAAGCTGAGACAAATACTTCTAGGTCAATGCTACTGCATTCAATTATTGGACATGACCCTGACATAATGGCTGTATTGTAACATAAGTGACTGCTTCACACAATGATGATGCCATCGTGTCTGATTCCAAGAACCAGAGGATAATTATATCATTGCAGCGTGCCTCTGGGGTATGATTTTCTCTACAACAAACCTCCAGTACGAGCTGAAATGGCACAATGACTCGAGAGACCGAAACAACGGAGATCCAGAATTTGAATCCAAGCAAGCATCCACGAATACATTGTGTAGGAATATAGCACATGACGTTATGGTGTATTGTGGGTAAAATGTATAAACAAAGTAAAGGTGCAGGCATGTAATTGCCTGCTCACTCCACTGCTAGCAGGTGGGCCTCCACTCGAGGGAGCTCTGGAGAGCTCCTTTAGAGGAAATTTGGCCTACTCTTCCACACTGCTCAGACATCTCCGAAGAGAGGGAAGTACACACACTTTACCCCACCACAGGCGACCGGCCGATGGACAAGCTGTAATGAACCCATGTATACTGCTGGGTGGACAGAGGCGATGAGATTTAAGAAATGTTCCAGTGCTTCAGTGGCTGTGCCGGGAGACCAAACCAGCGACCTCAGGGTGGATTATAGTTAAATAAATTAAAAAAGATGTAATAAACATTTATTTTTTTTGTTCGTATGACGAAACTGTCTCTTGCCTGTCTTGTCGCCCAGAATCCACACACCAGCACAGAGCACCTTTTATAAAATGTTGTTACAGTATTGTGCTGAACGGGCCTCGTGGTTGTCTGTAGGTGACCGTTGCCAAAATTATTGGGCAAGTCATCGATATCCATTGAACAGTGTTAACATGCCACTCTCTGGTAAAAAAAAAATCAAAAGTTTAAGCCTGAAGGCCCATAGCCAAATGGAATAAAATTACATTGAATTATTGCATATTGAAAAATAACCTTTTCTGAATACGTAATAATAAATGTAATCATGCTGTTGGGTACCACGTTGTGTCTCAATTAATTAGGCATATTCTAGTTGTGAGAATTAAAACATTGGTTTCTCTACAGCAGGGCATGTGAGAAGGTGCACCGCCAAGCATAGATATGGGGAAATCACAGGAACATCAGGAGTACTGAGATCATCTTTCAAAGTCCTCTCATATGAGTGATGCACTGCCTACTGCCCAGACTTTCAAAATGGAAATTCACCAGATAAAATGATGGCAATGGTACAATTGTAATTGACTTTAAATACGAATGGGAAAAGATGCGTTTAAAGCTCTTTCAATTATATTATACCGATACAATGTATCCTACAACTATATTCTGTAAAATGTTGATCTTCCTAATGTATGCTTCAGCCCGGATGAATGTAAATGTTACGGTATTCTGGCTTTGAAACACAACACTGCAATTCATTAACGGGGTTGTATTATTATTTCATTTATTTTTTTGTTGTTGCTGCATTTTGAGCTTTTACCAACTGCGTCGAAGGGAACGGGCGGGGGGCAGTTTCCAGCTGCGATCGAGTTCACTTCAAAGAGCTCCCACAAAAGGTCGCGGACACAGGAGATGCCCTGTGTGCATCCCTACGGCCGCGCCGCTATCCGCCGCGCATCCAAGCACGTGGGAGTTGCTTTGTTGCTGCAGCCACGACTTTCTCAATGAGGCCTCGTTTAAAGAGGTGCCCTGCCACCCGAGTGCTCGTACTTGTGCAACAAAGTGTGCCCCGAGCATTAATTGTGCCCTTTATTTGCACACAAATGCACGATTCACTCCCAATAACTTTGCATGGCGCTGGTTTTTAAAAAAAAAGCCTGTTCGCTTTAAAATAAAATACACTTTTGAATATTGTTTTGACCCTCGGGAATTATTCATTAGGGATTTTACACACGTTTAGGTTCCCTTTGCTACGACGTATTGCATTATGAAGCTATTTCAAAATACTTTGTTTGTATCTATCAATTTGGGATGCATTTGTGATAACAACAACAAAAACAACAACCGTGTGCCTTTCGAGATGTTAACCCCGAACCAAACACTTAACTTCTGCCATGCAGAAAGTTGATGAGCTTTTCTTGTTGTTGTTTAAACCACACACGGTGTTTGCCTTGGAGCGTTAGACACACACACAAAACAAGAGCACCGGGGCGCAGCAGGTAAAATGCACTCCCACAAAGTATTGGATGCCTCTTTAAAGTGCACTCTCATACAAAAGTGTGCCCTCTCAACCCCCTCCCACTACCACGTTCACCGCACCCCACGCTAACTACTAAACCACTTCCATCACCCACCCAGCCACCCACCCCCAACTCTCTCTCTCTCTCTCTGGTCCATTCACGATGGGATCGCTGTTATGCTAAACAAGTGGGCCAGAAGAAGAATGAAAAAAAACCCCCAGGGCCACACAATAGCGACAGTGAGAGAGTGACACGGAGACACGGGGGGGGGGGGGGGGGTGGAGGGTCCGAAAGAAGGAGCGAGTGACTCTTGGGTCAGCATTGGGTAAAACGCACGCAACAAAAAAAGGCGGGAAGACACTTTAGAAAGCATCTTCCCTAGAGTGCTTGTCAGCACTCTCGCATGGATTTATTGGTACGTGCGTGTGGAGGAGAATGAGGAGAAGAAGAGAGGAACTCGAGAATGTCCCTTCCCCTATCGGCGTGCTTAGGGTAGAGGCTGTTGGGTCAGAAAAAAAACATTCCCCGTGCTTTTTAGGTGGAAGGATACAAGTTGCAGAAGAGAACTTTTTTAAACGTTAGGCGCTAACCATCGGACGAGGAAGAACACTCTCTCGGAGCTCCGCCACGCACAGGTGAGCTTCACGTAATAGTTTGTGAATAGTGCTCGTTTGTATTGCAGGACTGCGTATGTGTATGCTCACGTTTCTATAGTTTAAATTGTTTTAAAATAATGGTTGTGTTTTGCTCGACGGTAAGACCGTGAAGCAGGTGTAGCACTTTCATCTTCAGTGTGTGTGTGTTTTGCGTCGTGCTTTGTTTCTGCTGGGCTATTTAACGTAAAATTAAAATATATTCCCGGTTATTTTTTTTAAAACGTACAAAGCACTCATGCTTCTGTATGATCGGCGAGCAAGGCGCATTCCACAAGTCTCTGTAATAATTCGGCTCAGTCCACCATTGTATGGCATCTTAGTCACGGATTGGGCTTAATCATATAAAGGAACGTCATGTAGACGACCTGCATGATCTGCTGCTTTTAGAATATATATATTTTTAAACCAAGTGCTTGTTATCTGAAACATTCCATTTAATGCCATCGATTCACTGCTTATAATAATCCAGTGTTCTCGCTGTCATATATGGTGGTTGGGGAGTTGTGAGTGGTTTGGAGAAAGCGTTGTTCCTGTCTGTGTCATATACCGTGCTGTATTACTGAGGGCGTCTGGTCGTTTAGACATAATAAACCACGTTTGGGTGGTTTGTTAGTAAGACATCGAGCAGACAAATCTGTCTCCCTCAAGGGGACTCACTGATGTCACCGCTCACTGCTGTCATCGCAAGGTCCCGCATGCAACAGCACATTCTAATATAGTCCTGAATTTTAGAACAACATTCGACAGTAATTGATAACTATGGTATTGCTATGCATGAAACAGTGCTTGGATATGAGTGTTTGCAGTTTACTGTATTACCATTTTTCGTCAAAACTACTTTGGGAAGAAACATGTCTGTTTTTTCTATTATCAAATTTGACTCTACAAAGTATTTTTTTTATATATATTCCCCCACTGGACACACACTACTTACGCCCATATATAATCCACATTGCAATAATATATCTAAACAAGAATTAAATTATGTTAATATGAATTGTGATTAAACCATTTTGCCTTCAGCCCTAGTTTTCAAAGTTTGTCATTGTATGTCTGTCCCAATGTCTTTTTCACATATTAAAAACAAAAAATCTGTTCAAATTATTTTTTTATTAACACAACACATTTGCTTCTCAATATACAGAAGAGTACATTATTCCACTCATGACAAAATCACCCAGGAAGTACCCAATCTCATCAGATCTCAGCAGGGATGAGCCTGCAAAGTGCTTGCATTGTTGACCACGACACGTACAAACTGGTAGTTATTGTTTAGCACGTGGTAGGCTTTCGCTACCAAGATCGCATAAATATATAAATGTGTCGTTAAACCCGCCACCACCCGACACAGCCAACTAGTAAGGGTTGTCACGTAAACAGAACGTGGCCAATTCGTCACTAGTACAGCACACCGGTGTGTTGGAGAGCCAAGCCACAACATTTACAATCTGAGTACGACGTTTCGCCAATAATTACAACTAGCTTCATCAGGCGACAGCCAGACTTGTGGAGAAATCCACCTGTTCCGTTCCTTATATAGAGGCGTAGATGTGGTGACCACCCTTCTGCGTTCTTGAGTCAACGTGCATTAGGTTTTTATAGGACTATAGGCATACAAGGTGGACAGTGAAGGAGCAGTACAGAATAATATATCATTATACTGTACTGAACATCTGTGAAAAAAGAGCTTTATAGCTCATCGGATTCCTCCAATATAAATACAGATTCTGATACTCGACGCTGCTTGTTTGCTTACACATCTATGCCTGCCCCTGCACTGACCAGTACGATGAAGTTCAGAGACTAACAAGAAGAGCTAAACAGTGTACTTAATAAAAGTACTTCCAACATGTGCTTTTCAATATTAATGTTCACAAAATTATTTCTTAATTGCCCAGATATAATGTCTTACTATACAATTCACAATTCGGAATGTCCTCTTTAATAGAAACTGTTGAATTGGTTATTTTATTTTCATTTTCTATCTATGTGACTTTACCGAAAGAACCAAGAATATGAATTCCTGCAGTCACGAAAGTTTTAAGTCAAAGTTGAACAAAATTTACTGCCAAAAAGTGCAGGAAATGACAGTTTTTGTGTATCATTTGTTCAATACTTGGCAGTAACTGTGTTGTTTACTAGTATGCCACATGAAGTAACTCTGACATGATGTATTACTGTAATTATACAGCATATATGTGTAATACTGGACTTTTTACATAAACAAATTTGAGCTAACATTACCACAAATGCCTTTTCAGCCAACAAAAAAGTATAAATATAGACGTCCTACCAACAAAATCTTTGTCTAGATTCAAATAAAACTATTTATGGTACAGTACTGCATTTGTAAATACGGAATAGTATGTTAATATAAGATGGCCCTTATAAAAAAAATAATTTTACAAATTACCGTAAATTAGTCTTCTAAAGGTTCTTATGAATTCCAATTGTCCATAATAATGACAACCCGAATTTCGTGTCGTGTGGCACTGTTGAAATGTCCTACAATTGTTTGTTTACTCGGGAAACCCAAAATAGGACTCTGTTTAACAGGCATAATGTGCCGGCCGTTTTTGTGTGCGTTTAGTTGGTAGGCAGGCCAGCGAGGGCAGGCGTGAGAAGGTAAGTCGATACAGGTGGGAGGGATTCATGGGTTGATTCAACCTGCAATGAATAACCCCGAGTCAGATTTAGGAGAATGCCGCGCGACAGCGCATTGCCCTAGCCTCTTTGTGCTGAGCTTTAGCAAAACGCCGGAGCAACATTCGGACACAAATGCCGGCGCTCCACATCGGAAAGCATCGGGATAAGGGAAAGGGCAGAGGGACACAGGATGAAAGGAAAACATCGGGGTTTTAAAAAAAGATTGCAAAGACAAAAAGAGACCGGTTAAGACAAGCATTAACCTTTCCAAGCTCCTGAATAATCCCCCGCATAGCTGTGCAGAATTTTTTGCAGTTAAGGTGTGGTCACCTGTACAGAGTTTGGTTTCAATGGTGGCAGCAATTATGGGCATTCCAAACCTTTGAGTTGTACAAACATTTGTTTAAAGGAACCCTAAATTTAGCTGTGCTATTAAAAACAAAAAAACCCTTTATAGGAAAGAATAATAAGTATTAATCTCTTGATACAGGGCCACTGGTGTCCATTAAACTGTCCAGGTATTTTGAAAAATCTTGTTTTTATTTGGGATGCGCAATGGGTATTTCTACTCTACACTACTGCATTATTACCCTGTGGTGGCTGCAAACTTCGACAGGACATTTTTGAATAGACAATAAATGTCTATACTTGAGCAGCAGGGTGGGGTGCAGTAGTAACACTTGCGTCTCACAGCAAGAAGGGCCAAGGTTCGATTTCCGACTCGGCCCCCTCTCTGCGTGGAGTTTGTATATTCTCCTTCTATGCATGGGTTTCCATGGCTTCTCATGTTTCCTCCCATAGCAACAGACACATATACAATGTAACTAGTATTGGCCAAACATCCCAATGCTGAAAGATTACCTGCAAATGACTGAATTGGGATCACACACAGCAACATCACTTCCTCGTGTGAAAATGTGGCAGGACTCTCCGGAAAAATAGTTTAGACATATGCTTTCCTGGGTAAGAAAGCAAAATAAATTATAGGAAAATAAAGTTGCCGACAAAACCTTTTGCGCAAAAATGTCATTATCGATCTAGCCAGCAGATGGCAGAACAGGTCTGAAGTGTTTCACGCATTTGGGAGCCTTGATAACTGTGCAGAAGTCATTGATATGATTTTAGATTGGCGGTTATTACCATTTACTATTATACTCTACTGTATTTTAAACATGCAAACTCCAAATATACAGCAGGCGTCAGGGTCGGGATCGAGCCCACGACCTCCAGTATACCAGGCAAGGTCGTTACAATCTCACCATCGTAGCACCCCCCAATACATTTACATGTTGAGCAGTTGTCCCAGGTTTGTTTTTATACCTCCAAAGGTGGCGACTCTCTTTGCATCCTTTCCATTTCCAAAGTAAGACTTTCAAAACATCCAGTTTAATAAATGTGCATGCAGTATTTAATTTGCATTAAGCATACGATTTGAACTATGATAATATAGTTTATAGATACCTCAAATATGCAACCAATATATAAGTGCCATCACAATAAACTGGTGGAAACAACCAGCAGGCCGGATACAGCCCGCGACTTAATTCCTTTGGCCCAGACGAGGCCTACCACTGCACTTTGTTGAACTTCTTTCACACGGTGCGTAGCCAACCGTGCCAATAGGAGGTGCGATTGGCACTTTGAAACTGCCAGCAATCAAGAGGGGGATAGGTTTGACCTGTCAACACTGCCTTTCTAAATTTAGCCCACTCAGTCACCTGTTAGGTGACCGTGTGGGACGTTACCGTGGAGGTAACAATCGATAGGTCACCAGTTCCATCTCTGGCACGGTTCCAGATTAAAATGTGTACTCTCACCTCTTCCAAGATGTCTCGCCAGTGTGGAAGAGTAGGCCAAATACTCTCCAGAGGGGTTCTATAGAGCTCCATCGAATAAAAGCCATTCTGCCAGCAGTGGTGTGTGCAAATACTTGCAGGGTTTCACCTTTACCCCGGTCACCTTCAAGGGTAAGCCAACATTATTTTCCTTAATATTATTGAATATCCCTAAGATGTGGTCATATGTGACCACATCTATTTGGCCCTCGATAAGGAAAAGGTTCAGCCACCCCTGCCCTGGACAATGAGATATGAATCGTGAGGTTGGTGTAATTACCGTATCTTGTTGATGGCATCCAATGAAATTAGATAAAAACGTGAGTTTAATACTACACTCGTAACATTCATTATCGAGAGAGTTGTTTATGGTATAATGACAGAGTATTTTTAAAGTCGTGTGGTTTCAGAATAATTTACTTGAAATGGCATGTTTATTCCCTAATTGTGGTAAATGGTTTCGTTGAACTTACAATTAAAGCTGTTTATAATATGTTA